CCCCCCCTTATTTCACAACTGCAAAATTAGAGCTGAGGAGTGAACTATCTTGCCCCTGGTCACACAGCAAGTTGGCTTCTACCTTTGAGAGGGACTTCATTTCATTTCTGAACCCTGAGCACAGGTTTCAGCTTAACCACGAACAGGTGTTGAATAAACATGAATCAGTACATCTTAACTGTGGGTGGAGCCCTGGTGGCATAGTGGTTACACACTAAGCTGCTACCCGAAAGGTCAGCGGTTCAAAACCACCAGCCGCTTTGCGAGAAAAAGACGGATTTTCTACTCCTGTCCAGAGTTGAGTCTTGGAAACTCACAGGCAGTTCTACCTGGTCCTGTAGGGTCTCTGTGAGTTGGAATCCACTCAAGGCAGCGGGTTTGGTGTGGGTTTGAGTGGGTGGATTGTTCATAGGAGTATGGCTACAGGTCTTGAGTTCTTGCTAGGCTGATTGTGTTTTGAACCGATAGCTGGAACGCGTTCCTGGGCGGAAAGGAAGGGGCAGCATAGTCACGCAGGAGTCTTTTAGCCGTTGAGAGTATGACAGCAGGGGGCACTGTTTTTAATCATAGCCTAAGCGGAAATTGGCCATCATGTAAGAGTGTAGGGGTGAGAGAAGGCACGTGGATGTGATTTCAGCTTGCGGTAGGAGTAGTTCTAGAAACAGACAACTCCGCAAGTTGGGATCAAGATAACGGAAATGGTCATTTCTTTCCCCTCCTCCACCACTTGCAGCATCTTTCTCCCCCCAACTCAGGCCACTGTCCAGTGTTGCAGGCTGTCCAGCGGACCTGCCCCATAGCCGCCGAGTGTTTGCTAGGCTGCCACCTTCTCGGAGCAGAGCCCCAGGCCTGCTCTCCGGCGCACTGCCCGCCTTCCTGCTAACACAGCCACTGTGCCACCCGGCTCCTCTGGCCCCGGGTGAGAGGAGACAGCGATGACGCCGGGTGCGGGTGACACGGCGGCCATGTGGGCAGGAACAGGCCCCCTGGGTGCCGCCGCCAGGGCACACAAGAGTTGGCCTTTGATGTGTTGGACTGCCCTCCGAGGCCCACCGTCCTCAAGTCCCTTCCAACCCCTAGAGGCCTGGGGGGACAGGGCAGCGCAGCTCCCTGCGGTGTAGAGCAGGGCTCCTCAAACTTGTTAAATGGGGCCAGTTCACTGTCCCTCAGACCCGCTGGAGGGCCGGACTATAGTTTAATAAAAAAAACTATGAACAAATTCCTATGCACACTGCACATATCTTATTTTGAAGTAAAACAATAAACAGGGCAAAACAACCTGGCAGGCCGGATAAATGTCCTTGGCAGGCCGTGTGTGGCCCGCGGGCCGTAGTTTGAGGACGCCTGTATACCTTCATAGGAGCAGACAGCCTCATCTTGCTCTTGAATTTGCCAGAGCAATTTTGATTGTTTGAGTATCTCCAGTTGGCCTGCGCCTTCTGCAGTAATGCTCCAGGCGGTCCAGCCGCCGTCTCTTCCAGTCCCCTCTCCCCCTCCAAAAAATAACAACCAACCCTGTAACCCTGTGCCTGTTTTTCCATTTTGGAGCCAGGAGTGTGCACCTCATAGGGGCACCTTTCCCTCATTGCTATTTTGTGCAATCTTGGGTAGGACCTATGTTAGGGGGGCAAAAAACTCCTTGTGTAGAGAAACCAGGTTGTTAAGCCTTAAACCGGATAAAACCCAAAGACACTTCATCCCGAATGAGGGAGGGAAGCAGCCGGTATGAAGCCGATGGATTTCTGTTGGGAGCGTTCTGCTGATTCACGGCCGTGGTTTTCATAAAAAATGGTAGAGAGCGAAAGAGACTCTCATAAGATGATGATGGGTGGCGGGAAGCCTCACGATTGGAATACGTGTATATACTAATTGTTTCCTCTTACTAAGTATTGTTATGTTTTGTCCACAGGCCACCAAGCAGTTTCTTGAAGAGGTCAACAAGTGGACAGTTCAGTACAACGTGTCCCCACTCTCTTGGAACGTGGCTGTCAAGTTCCTCATGGCCAGGAAGTTCGATGTGCCCCGTGCCATAGAGCTGTTCCACTCCTACAGGGTATGTTGTGGGGAGGGGGGGCTGACCAGACCCCACTCTGAGCCTGAGCCCAGCACCCTAAGTTCCGGTTATAGAGCAGAGACCGCCTGCCTGTAAGAGTGGAGTCCAAGGAGATGGCCTCAGGCAGCCTAGCATCCTCTGGGGAGCCTGACAAATTGTTCCTGTTTCCTGGAGCTTGAATCGGGGCTCTCTTTGGCCTCGAGCCACATGCCTTTTGACGTCACCGGTTCATTTCCAGGATGCTGGGGTTTTGAGAAACCTCCCGTTCAGATAAACGCTTAGTGGGCAGTTTGGCTCTGGAAGGGACGCTTTAGACCTGGCGGGGGGAGCAGCTGTGTGTATGAGAGCCGTGGTTCGTCGCTCTTTCCTCGATACAAATGTAGTTGCCTGTGCAGCACATTGCTTTGTTTTTTTTTTGCTTTGTTTTGTTTTGTTTCCCCCCCCAACAGTTTCCTTGGTGTAGAATTCACACATCGTACGACTCAAATAGTTCAATTTCAAAGCTTTGCTTTTTGGAAAATGTCTTGACTTTGGGCCCCCACTTTGCTTTCCCACTTGGTAGTGTCCTTGATGCACGATGCTGGCTGGCACATGAGAATGGGGTTAGAGTGTCTTTCTGAAGAGACACAAAATTCCCCTGAGCTAAAAACAAGAGGGGGTAGCAAACATAAATATTTGTTCACTACAACAGCTTATCTTGTGTGGAAGCTTATTCAGTATCCCTTCATTCACTTAACAGACATTTCCTGTATTCCTACTGTGTTTCAGGTACAGAGATCACTATTTGGAATACTGAGAGCAGTGGTTCTTAACCTGTGGGTCTCGACTCATTTGTGGGGGTCGAACAACCCTTTCACAGGGGTCACCTGATTCATAACAGTAGCAAAATTACTGTTATGAAATAGCAGCAAAAATAATTTTATGATTGGGATGGGGGGG